CACCCGGGCCGGCCCTGCCGAGGGGCGGGGACAGCGGCCGCTTCACGGGCGGCTGAGCCGGCGCTGCAGCAGGAGAGGAAGGATTTTCGGTACGAGTTAAATCAAAAGCAAGTGTTTATTATTACAAAAAATACCTTTTTGTTAAAACCCCCCATTTTCTCTTCACACACCGGGGAAGGGCTGCCCTCGCTGCGGGGCGAGGCATGGCGGCCCCGGCATCATCCGGGATCCCTCAGCAGAGTGGAACGGCAAGGAGGGGGCAGGTGCCCGGGGCCCTGAAACCACCAAATCCCACGGATTTCTGGAAGCCAGCACTGAGGAAAGAAGAGAGGAGGCTTTGCCAGCCTGGCGCTCGGGGTATCATCCCACTTAGCCCCCTCCAGCTCATTCCCGTGAGCCCGCAAACTCCTTCAAAGCTCAGGAACATTTCCAACGAGGAAAAAAAGCCCAGCACCAAAAAGACATTTAGAGTTAAGCCCCGGTAAAGGCTGTGAGACGGCACTGCTCAGACCGCAGTAGTGCCCGAGAGGCAGCCAGCCCTGGTGCTGCAGGCTCACCTACGTGGCATTTTTAAAGAAGAGTAACTTCTGTACTTGGTCTTTGGACAAAAAGAAAAAAAAAAAATTGAAGTCTAATTGGAGTACCAAAAGGCATCGGTCAAGTTGAGTCTCACTGCATCGGGATTACTGGTGCTCCCAGCACTAAACTGCACTGGGCCAGGCTACAGGGGGCTGGGCTGCTGTTTCACCATGAGCAAACACTTCCCACAGTTGTCTCTGCTGGGAGCTGCCCCCCAGACAAGGCTTCTGCTGCCAGGGGGGTTATTTTACAAAGTACAAAACCCCAGAAACCATTACCGCAGACCTAGGCACGACAGACACCAACCCCACTACAGCTACTTTAAAAAAAGTCTTCGCTCAAACCCATTTCTTTCTACCACTGACCCCCGCACCTGACAGCAACAGCTACAAAGCTACAAGCCCTACATCTCCAACTCTCCAAGGACCGGCTGTGGAAGATCCCCCACCTGTGTCCCTGCAAATGCCTTCTCCCCAGCTCCATCAGCAGGGAAATCTCTTTTGACAGGGGAACGGAAACCGAGGCGCAGGTCTAGTAAGGCATCAGTGGTACTTGATAAAACCCAGAGCCAATTTCCAGTCCTGAGCTCTGCCTTGCACTCCCTTGCAGTGACCATGATATTCCTGACAATACTTTGCACTTAAAAAAGAACTTACGGTCAATTTTGGACAAGACGCTGCACAACATCTCCTGGTAAAATTTAAGTTTAACGGAAAAAAAAAAAAAAATGGAGGCAAGGAAATCTGAGCAGCTGCTTCATCACGATTGCTGGCGAGCCCCAAACCATGAGAATGGAGAGCTGTATAAACTATGTCTTAAAAACTACATACAGTTTATAGGAAACTATAAACTATGTGATTTAAAATTTCTTTTCTGCCTGACCTCATGTGGGAAATAGGGGAGAAGTCAGGCAGAGCAGCCTGGAAGCGGCTGCGAGGAGCACCACAGGGCCGAGGCAGGGCTGCGGCAGCATGCTCTGCAGGCAGGAGAACACTGACGGCACCCAGCGGTCCCTCGGCAAGGTACCAAAGCTCCGAGCCCTGAGAACTACAGAGCCTGATCCTCTTTTGGTCAGAATTCATCCCGTAATCTTGGTGGATGGTCCATGCCGAAAAACGAAGAGGGTTTTCCATGCACGTCGCGCTCTCTTTTCACAAAGGCAGTAAATGAAGAGACACAGTTCCCGATGAAGTGATCGGACTGGCCAAGGATGTACAAATCAATCTGAGGCACTTCTGGCTGCAGGCTAACCACCTTGATCTGCAGGGAAACAAGGAAAGCAAACGAATCCAGTCATCTCTTATTACGACCCAAATGCCTTGGCATTATATTAGAAATGGGAACATATAACAAAAGGGTTTTTTGAAAATGACTTAGGTTTATTTAATTGAAGCCTTTTTCAAGGAGAAATTGATTACTGTGCAGGATAATGCTCTTCAGCCTCCAGGAAAGGAAGAGTTTTACAGCATAATTTTTATGGCTACGAGAAAAATTTACCTTGAGATGCCAATATTTGCCTGTGAATAAGGTATTACACACCTGCCTGCCTGCTGTCTGAGGCAGCAATGGGCCAGAGTCCAGGGAAGGTTTTTCTTAAAGCACTCCTGCCAGAACGGGTTTCTGATCGACTTACCTTTCCTTGGAAGAGCTGCTGTATTTCCGTCGTGTATGGCTCAGAATCAGTAGCGATATAAACAGATTTAGCTTCCGTCTTTCTCACCCAGAGCTCGAGAGCACGCTTGATCTCTTTGAGGTCTGGCAGGCACATGTCCATGGTAAGAGGGACTGCAGCGCTTCGGTCGTAGCCCACGCACTGAGGTGATGCCATGAAGTGTGGCCCAGCCGTCCCGTCCTTTAGCATATTGCAAGCATTTTTCTATTGGAAGAAGAACAGCGAAAATGTCACGTTTGAATGGCACGTGTGAGAAAACACTACTGCACCCCCCAGCTCTGCCAGCAGCATCACAGCCCGTTTGAAAGAGGAATCCCAAGGGCATTGCTAACGCAGAGCGAGTTGCCGAACGCCAGCCCAGGCGCACAGCTCCTCGCCAGGCCGCTGCTTCCACAGCGCGGTCGTCGCCAGTCTAGAGCAACCGCAGGGCCACAGCAAGCAGCCTCTCACAGGAGCCATACCCAGTCTGAGCCGATCCACAGGTGGATTCCTACGTAGGGCCTGACCAGCAGAGAATGAATATAGGCTTCTCCTTTCTTCACCATTTCGTCAGACCACACCATATATTTCTGGAGGGGTCGGTGCTCCTCTAAGACTGGAAACTGGGCTGGAGCTCCAGGTAAGGCCAGTACAGGGTGCTCAGATGGCGAAAACCTACAGAAAAAAACCCCAGCAGACTGTAACGTAACATAACCTTGCAGGCATCATCTTTCACAAAGACTACTGTGAAGGTTAGAAACTACAAACACCCCGAAATCTATTGCTCCAAATTTACCCAAGATGAATTTTAACTATTTTGCCACGTGAACAGAACACTGAAGCAGAACTCAGGTACTGCGTTTTACCTCAGACCTGGTAACAGACGAATTAGTATGATTATTTGACAGACGAAAGACAAGAACCTCATACACATAGCGACGAGCAACCAAGCAACAAGAGCTTACATTTTCACCCCAGACTAGAGCAATTTTGTCACCCGAACTTACTGATACGACTGAAGTGGCTCTGAAAACATGAGGCAACCAGCAAAATACAGTTCCCGATCAGCAACTGAGAACCAAATTCTTTCTGAAGAATAATTACATATGTAATCAATAAATACTGTAACTAAATATTACTGGCTCAGAAATCAATCAGCCTAACAGAGCTAACACCTAATACTGCCCACAGGAAGATCATGCTCAGTAAATATTTAATGGAAGGAGCATTAGATTTTGAATTATGTTGATAATTAACCTCTTCGCCCTCTCCCGCAAAATGCAGAGGCTTTACGCAATGCCTAGCACAACCGTATTTAATGGAAGGAGCATTAGATTTTGAATTATATTGATAATTAACCTCTTCACACTCTCCCGCAAAATGCGGAGGCTTTACGCAATGCCTAGCACAACCATTTCCCTGAGTTATCCCGCAGTGGCACGCCAGCGCTTTTCCACCTTCTCACTACCTTTGGATCCAATGGTCCTTGTACGCAGAACTGAAGGACATTCCCTTGAAGAGCTCAGACTTATCAAAATCCACTTGGAACTGATCCCAGAAGGGACCAAACGGATTTCCATCCTGCAAAGGAAAGACAAGTGTTCATTCAGCACGCACGCAGTGTCTGAAGGGCAGACCTCGCAAGATCCCGGGGTGCCCAGTTGAAGAGTTTTTCTGTGACAGGAAGAGCACCGGCGGAATACAACAGCCTGCTTGCCACAGATCAGCTCTGTGGGAAGGAGAGAGCGGAACGCGTCAAAGAGAGTTAACTGAAAACTAATGCAAAGGTTGCTTTAAAAGAACGGGAACACCGCAGCTCTCCAACTTGTATTTAAGATAGGTTGCTTTAAAACCAGCCAGGCAACCATAGCACAGATGCGAAACGGGCAGCGACCGG